GGCAGAGCCCGGGGCCGGGGGCGGGGGCCGCTCCGCCGCCTCTGCTGCGCCGCGGGGACGGTGTCGCTCCCGACGGAGTAATTTTCCCGGTTGCGAGGCGCTGCAGAGCGACGGCGGGTGTTGTGTTTACAGCTGGTCAACAACTTTGCTAATCCGGTCGTAAAAGCGGCTCTGAACCCAGATGAACATCCAGGCCAATATTTGTTACATTTCAGAGACCGCACTCGAGCCAGAAATACGTCTTAATCAGATGCCCTTTAAAACCTCTGTCTTACATAATGAGAAACTTACCCAGCTCACCGTTTTCCTCATGTTAATCGTAGCACGAGGGTTCACTTGGTCAATTTATTGTTGTTGTTTTGAGTGATACTAAAACTCTGGAAATGTAAGGATTTAGCATTTTAAAACATTGAGATGCAATTGGGAAGAAAATCACTATTTCTAGCTAGGACTTTCTGTGCCAAGTGCATGTTAATGAAAACATTAACAGTTTAAATTAAAAAGTGTTAGCAAATCTGCCGGTAGAACTTTTAGCAAAATAGTGTCTGTAAATTTGAAAACCAGTTTAGGATACCTTTTTATTTTCTCTTTTAAATTACAGAAATAGGAAATTCTGTTGTAAGGTTACAAACATAACCTTGGGGAACATACTATACAAATACCATTTAACATCAAGCTATTTTAATCGATCTTCTCATTTAAAAGAAAACCCAATCCTTTTCTGTAGTACTGTCCTTCATACAGGTTAAAACTATCTTCTAAATATTTCTATTCAAATTCCATATAAAGCAATAGTAGCTGATTTTAGTCAATAATTTAGAAGGAAAAAATGGAAATTTTTGGTGTTGGAGTAACATTGCACAAACACAGCTGAACAAAGCTTGGTCAAAGGGACATGGGAGTATAACAAAAGTGTGCGTGTCGCGGGGAACAGATCTTTGTTGCCACTGAAGAAATTCCACTGCAGATGAAAGTGTCCATGCCAATATTCGGTGGTCCATCCCAAGCAGCTGGATTAGAATCACTTCCTCTAGAACAGAAAGTCTGGGGCAGAACTAAAGTTCCCAGAAAATTATGTTGGCTACTTCAGTGGCTGTCTCCTCCTCTCCCTTTTCAGCTGGGCAAGTAATACATATGCTCTTTATTCCAGGAGAGAAATTAATAAAAACAAATGGAAATTTAAGCAAAATCTTTGGTGCAAAAAGTCCTAGCCATTTTCTTCCCCAAAATACCTTTCCTTAAACCCAAAATTGTATTGCTCCAGCACCATCTAATACAGGGATTAAAATTTCTTTTTTAATCACTTTTTTGCTGACTAGGATTTGTCATGATGAGTTACATCTAGTTTTCAGGAAGACCTAAGGAGAACAACAGACATAATTTTCTTCGATGGCTTTTACCTACTACATGAACACATAGTTTGATAGAGCATAAGGTCTGAGCGCAATTCTGTTCAGTGTAGATAAATGGGCTTCTTAAATTTTACCTTCATATTAATAGGATTAGCAGCTCTGCAAACTTCTTGATATTCTAAACAGAAAACCATGTCACCTCCATATGTAGACATGCAGAGGTCTTCACAAAGCTCAGAAGTCTCAATCTATATCCACCTTGAGCTAACAGAACTTTGCACAGGTACCAGCTCCAGCCCTGATCATTTAATTTGGCAGTTGTCACATTAGATGGTGGTTTCCACTGAGAATCAAATCATGAATCCCTGAAGTTAGATCAATTACTAGAGAGCAAAAAATACACTATTACTCTGCTTCATCTATTTATATATTTAATTATATTTATATATGCAGCAACCAGACCACAAATTGCATAATTATTTAGCTACCAGGCAGAGACTCAGCATGTCACCATGAAAAGGAGTTTGTGTTAATATCCTGGTTAAAGGTTTCTTCCATGTTCTGTGCCATTCTTCCCCACCAGTTCCCTTGGAAGGCAGGCAGAAGAGAGCCCTAATTTGGAGCTGTGGGTTCTGCTTTGGGAGCAGAAGTCAGGCACTGAAAGGGAAGATTTAAATCCCTTTGGTGCCTAGCCTGCAGGGATCCGAGCTCTGTACGAGTGTTAACCTGTGCTCTCCATAGGCCTAGGACGGCTGCTCACCTGCCCTGTTTGCTCAGACCCAGGAGTGCTGAGGATTCACAAGACGCTGCAGGAAGAATGGTTCTCAGTTTTACCAGCAGAGATGAAAAATACATAGGCATACTCTTTGCATTAAATGTAAGAGGAGTGTTCTTCATGTGACTCACCAGTGATTACTGAGAACAACTAAAAAGCTATGATTAGCCTTAGCTGAAACCTTGCAGCATGCTCCGTGCCTTTAGAAAGCGATGGCTTGCGCCCAGGAGGTGAGTGGCAGGCGTGACAGGGAAACAAAAGGGGAAATCCCAAGAGGCGATTCTGCAAACTGTGGAAAGGCTAATTTAGAAGTAAAAATAAAAGAGCATGTGGATCAGAAAAGCTCTGTGCTCTCTTGCAGCAAAACCATCACTTGAATAAACTCAACAGGAGCAAAATAACATCCAGGTTTCTGAGGATAATTGGTGGCAGGCATTGAAGGCAGACAACTAAGCAAGTCAGAGAAGCTTCCTCTCCTATTCAAGTGGAGAAATCCATCTGTGTGAACTGAGCAGAATTGAGCTTGCTTATGTCATCTACTGGTTTAGCATGAGTGTGCCAGGTTCTTTATCATATTTGAAGTGCCCTGGAATAAGGTGATATAAGTGTTCTCCTTGTACTTAAAATCAGATGTGACTCATCACAAGGTCCTCTAATCAGAAAGAAAATGAGCAAAAGTAATCAATAATAAAAACTGAACAGGAATTACTGGCTTTATTTAATCTTACAGTACAAGCATTACCTTTATTTTTTCATCAAGGTGAGTTATGATGAACATCTTCAGTGAGCAGAATCCAGCACTCAAAAACTTGTGACTCAGCACTTCTGCTGCATGCCAGCATCTAAATCCTGAATCAAAGAAAAAGCTTTACTCACTAGCTCATCAATACAGTGCCAAATAGAAATGCCGGCTCAGTGGCTATGAGAGACAGCATGGCCCAGTGGGGGGAAATAAGCATGCTGGACTCCTTCCTGTGTCTGCCTCTGATGTCTTCTGTGAGCTTAACTCACCTGTGCCTGCATTCCATCTCTCTAAAACAGAGATGCCATGTAAAGAAATGGATCAGAAAAACGTTACCACTAACAGTGTTAAGGTACACATAAACGCATCAGGATCTACCTCCTTGCTTTCTCCTTTTCAGACTTTGAATCTTAAAAATAGTGACCACAGTGATCTGTTACTTATTTTACCTTGCCATTTTTCACTATGCGCTTGCCTTATTTGTAGACTGTAAAAAAATGAGAAAGGTGGCTTGTTGACTCCATGATACAGATCAGTTGGCAATTTTATGAGAGTTATAGTAACAACAGGATTAAGAGCAATAGCTGTGATTTTTAGACCTGTGTTTTGACTTCTTATATGTTATTCAAATTAATAGAAGTTGAGTGCTCAAATTCACCTGATAGCTCTGCTTTAAAGAGACTTTTGTACTCTTGACTCTTCTTAACAGGAATTCCATCCTAGATGGAAGGAAGACAAAATCATGGTTAACTGATGAACTGTCCATTCAGACTCGTTAACCACAGCCATGGACTGTCCTAAGTGATTTTCAACCAAATGCATTCACTTATATAATGCAAAGAGAGGAGGAAGATTTTTAAAAGCAGTTTTCTAAAAGCTGCTGTTAATAACATGAATTAAAATGAGGCATAGAAAATTAGGAGACATTCAATTTAGGATAGAAATAGTTCAGGCCTGAGCATTTCATGTGTTAAAAGTCCCAGCCACAAGTGATTTTAAAGAATAATTAAAAAAAAAATATTCTATAGTTCTTCCCTACAAACATGAAGCTTACAGTAATCAACTTGCTTCAATAGGTGGCAATAGCCAATTATCAGTTTTAAGCTGTCAAAGGAATTAAGAAATGAATCCAGATTAATTCTTCATGTTTGTTACCTCTGGAGGAGGGGCAGAGTGACAGTGTAGTTCAGCTAGCAACCAGCAATCCTAAAATAGAAGACTAATTTGTTCAGAGACATTTAGTTTGTATATTTGGCCAGTCCAACTCTTTGCATTTGTCCCCTCATAATGATTCTAGTTTATATGGAGCACAACTGTCCCAAAAAATTAAATAGTATACGGAAGTGGCTAAATCTTTCCATTTTTTCAGGGAAACTTTCAAACTGTCTTTCTCTTCCCAGCTGAGTTTTAGTACTTGGGCCACAAATGGGGGCAAAAATAGCTGAATAGTTTGAATGATGCTCTCTGAGGACACTAACATGTTTCTAATATACATGATAAAAAGGGTAAAGACTACTAGCAGCCGTATATGGAAAGTAACGGCATAGTGGAAAACGGTGATGTGCCTTGAATGATCTATAACTGAACTAGAGCTTTGCCCAGCTAATAGACTTAAGGCTATATACTCTTTGAAGGGCCAGACTGAAAGAGCCAAGGCTTGCTTAGGCAGCAGAGCCCAAATATGCCATGAGATCTGACACATGCTCTTGCAGAAAGTCAGGAAACAGAATGCAGACAATGTCAGGATGCAAAACAGA